CTATCCTTTTTATTGTTTCCCATTTTTCTGTGCTATGTATGCCCATGACCGACTGTAGCCCATGACCGACTGGAAACGGTCATAGTATGCCCATGCTGACCTTAACCCGCGCTTCACGGATACATCTGTGAAAATGACATCTTCTGGGCGTGAATACTGATCACTCAGTTCCCTTATCGTGGCATCTACAATAACAGGTATCCGACTCCTTCGGTACCTCCCGAGAAGAAGAAGAAGACGGAGGTTTATACTTAGGAAGCGGAGAAGGAGGAGAGGGGGGAGGAGATTCCAGTACCTACTTTGAGAAATGATATTCCCTTCATTGTTCATTTAAAGATCATCTTGATCGGACATGACCTTAAGTGTTCAGATCTCCTGAGTATGTCTCAAAGGATATCTGTTACATCAACCAGAACAGAAATTGCCTTCAGCGACGTGCAAGCCAAGGCAGCGCAGGGGCCATTACTCGTGTTTGCCGACCCGGCGGTAGCGGAATCGGGTCTCCCAGAAAGATTTAGTCTAGAATGGACAGGAACGAACTATCATGGAAAATTAAAGCAGCAGATCAATATGTTGACCACATTGCACACTGAGTGCCGATTATGCTTTTGGCCAAATTGTGTTTTGGGCTGCTAAATGTTGCAGGTTAACAGATGATCAGTATCAGATCTAGGGCGCTCTGACTTTCCTGGAGTAATAAGATCTTGTAGAGTCTCTTGTGAATCCTGGACAATCGGTAGGCAGGCCAAACAATTTCTTGAGGCTTCAGAGATGTGGTTTTACAGAAGAATGCTTAGAACACCTTGGACAGCCAAAAAGAGCAGCCAAGAGGTTTTTAAAGATCCGGGAGCCGGAAGACAACGTATCACAGACATCAAAAGGAAACAGTCATATTTTTTCGGCCATGTTATGAGAAGAGGAAAAATAGAACTTGTTGTGACCACAGGAAAGATCTGTGGAAGGAGGGATAGAGGAAGACAACGAGAGAAGATTCTTGACAGTCTTGTTGCATAGCATGGAGGTGTGTCGGCAGACGAACTGATACATGCTGCAGGAGATCGTGGATTATGGAGAGGCATGATCGCCCACGCCAGTCGGCAAGGCACCTGATGATGATAATAATAGTCTCAAGGTATCAGTGACTCCGTCGTTCCAAATTCTTTTTGGTCGTCATCTATCTTTTGGTGTTTCTACTTTCATTCTGTACCCTCAACTTTCTGGCAACACTGTATTATTTCCCTTTGATTTGATTTGATTCAAGAACCGACATCACAGCACTCGGGGCATTCCCATAAGCGCTCCGTCCCCATCTTCAGCAGCCGGCGAAGAGTTCCGATACTAATGGTACCAGTAGCATTCTGATTAAACGTCCGTTTTGCCTTTCCTCTGAGCCTCGAGCATCTGCCAGAACCTCTCGTCACCCCCAACTGCATCAATCTCACCAGACTGTGGTGATCCATCTGCTCCTCCGAATTGTACACGCTCTTCCACAAGGCACTAACCACGTGTGCCCTATCATGTATCAGTATTCCACCAAGTTGTGCAGAGCCAGCCAGTCTGTTCGCCTGTTCATTTCCCAACACACCGGCGTGACCTGGTGAAAAAATCCAGACAATACTCGTCACTCGTGTCCTCCACTCTGCACGAAGCATCCCTGTTCTGATCTTCCTCAGCATGCTTTCTAAATCAGTTACAATCACGATGTGTGTGTGTGTGTGTGTGTGTGTGTGTGTGTGTGTGTGTGTGTGTGTGTGTGTGTGTGGTGTTCTCTAGCCAGCGGAAAGCTGCAGTGACCGCCTCCACCTCCACCTCCATTCTTAAGTTGGATGTTGTGGTATCATGTGCTAGGCTCTCCTGCACCAAACGTCGACCATTAATTTTTGCTAAGAAGCCCCAAGCACTTCTTTTGCCTTTTGAAACTGAACCGTATGTGTAAATGATCAAATCCTCTGAGCGAGCATAATCTTGAATTAATTGCTGAATTTCCACCTCTGTGGCACCTGCTGGCCAGTCTGCGCATTCCCGGCTCAGCGTGATTATGACTCTACTCAAGTCTGACTGTTCAGGTGGCACTTTGACCCACTCCTCTCCTCGCCTAATGTTCTCAAGGATGCAAAGCTGTCTGATTGTGTCTTCTACCTGAGCCATCCATGACTTACCTCTTATCAGCCGCTGACCCTTAACTCCACCCAGAGCTTCATGCAGAGGGTGGTCTGTGTCTGCAGCTACCCTGAGATTTGACTTCGCCTGCAGCACCTTGTGCCTTCCTGCAACCGTCGGCAAACCAAGGATGTATCGCATACACACCACTGGAGTGTCTCTGGTGCAACCCAGAATGACCCGCATAGCCGCGTTCTGTATGCGCTCTAGTTTGTCCATCTGACTCTTTGAGACGGTAAGCAGTCCCAGGCCATAATCCCCCACTGACGGGATCATGTGCTGATATAGTGTGAAAAGCATTCTCTGCTCTATGTCAATTGCAGCCATAGTCTTAAGTGCACTAAGTCCTTTTTGGCATCTCGTCACAACACTCTCCACATGGTCCTTAAATGACAGGCTCCTGTCAAATGTAATTCCCAGATACTTCAGTTTGCTCTCTCTGTTGACGTCTCTACCATCTATCGTGAGACCTGGGACATTAGTTTTAACGATTCTGTTGTCCAGAGAACACCACAAAACAGACGCCTTTTCCTGGTGGTCGACAGCCCTCATTTCTGTACACCACTCAGTCACTTTGTCTACTATTTCCCTTTTAAAGGCAGGATCACTTCAGTCTGTGTTGATTGAATTTATGTATGCCTGTTGTTCCAATTGTTCTTTTCATTGTTGATCCTCGGATTGGTTTAGTTAAATATGGGGCAGACAAATTTAGGCAGATCATCATTGGAGAAAAAGACGCTGGCATGAAATAGGGACACTGTGACAATCCAGGTAATAATACAAAACTATATGTGTAACTGTAATGTCTGTGCACTGGATTGCAGGAGGCCATAAGAAAGAAGTATGTAAAGCAAGTAAAAAGCAGAAAAAGGCAAATTTTCTCCCCCTGGAGCATAGGTCATATCGTTTTCTTCTTCTGCCATGAACCCACCAATGGAGAAGAGATCCTTAACCAGCTCATGCCAATCAAATGATCTTGGTGAGTATACTTTGGATTTTTTTTCTCCGAGCTATGCCGGCGTCGTGGGTAATGAACAGGCAAATAGATTGGCTGGATCTGCACCACTGGGTGGTGAATTGATACATGACAAAACAGATATGATCAAGACCCTTTGGGAACAAGCAACTGAATCAGTAGAGAAACAAAATCATTATGGCCTGGAGAGAATGAGGCATCTGGGTGCAACCAGAGGGTCTGGCCGGCTCACTACACTCAGAGGAAAGGCAAGACGGACGTATAACCAGATTGTGACCGGTACCATTAGTATTGAAACTCTGTACTGGCTGCTGAAGATGAGGACAGAGCACGCATTGGAATTCCCCGAGTGCTGTGATGTCAATTCGTGGCTCAACTCAGCTCAACTCAACTCATCCATGGTTGGTTTTAGAATATTTTGGATTAGGTAGCCAATCCCAAGCCCAACAATACCCTCAGAGATATAGTGCTAGAACTATATTATTAAAAACCAATCTGCATTCGACAGTTGATGTGGTTAGCATCACACCGACCGCCTTTACTTTCCTGGACATTACCTGGTACCCATTTTAGGCTGTGTTGACCTGGAAGTCATGGTCAGTTTTGGAAAGAAAAACAACGAATCGATGCTGGTTTGAACCATTTACCTTCGAGTCGGCATTGGAACGTCTAGCAACTATACTACCCCGGAGCTACACAAAAAATCTTCTTCGCGTTCATCGACTGTAAACTCCAGCGGACGAATCTGGTTGTTCAACCACTTCTGGACTTTCGTCGTGTTCCAGAATGTGAGTGTTGTCCGCACTTCTGTTTTGCAGATGTAGGTTATTTGTAAGCAGTATAAGCAGACGGTTGGTTGCTCGCTTCTCAGGCAGATGAACTCCGATTCGAAGTCCCACAGAGTGAGTGAGTGAGTAAGTGAGTGAGTGAGTGAGTGAGTGAGTGAGTGAGTGAGTGAGTGAGTGAGTGAGTGAGTGAGTGAGTGAGTGAGTGAGTGAAAGAATGATGGAGAGGGTAGAGTGAGGAAGAGAGTGAAGAAGAGAGTGAGAAAGGAAGAGTGGGGTAGAAAGAGTGAGTGAGTGTGTGAGTGGGAGAAGAGTGAGTGAGTGAGAGAGTGTGAGGGAGAGGAAGAAAGAGAGAGTGAGGGAGAGAGTGAGTGAGAGAATGAGTGAGAAAAAGAGTGAGAGAGAGTGCGAGAGGGAGTGTTAGAGAGTGAGAAAGAGATAGTGAGGGGGAGAGTGAGGGAGAGAGAGTAAATGGGAGAGAGTGAGAGAGAGTGAGAGAGAGAGAGTAAATGGGAGAAAGTGAGAGAGAGAGAGTGAGGGAGAGAGAGTAAATGGGAGAGAGTGAGAGAGAGTGAGAGAGAGAGTAAATGGGAGAGCGGGTGAGAAAGAGAGTGAGGGAGAGAGTGAGAGAGATTAGGAGTGAGAGAGAGGGAGGGAGCGAGAGATGAGCGAAAATAAAGACAGACACTTTTGAAAAGATTGATTTGGCAGGATGCTAGAGACGGCACAGCGTTCGACGAACTGACTTCAGCTGGTTGAGAGCAGGTGCACCAATGATGGATATATGACAGCAACAGTAAACTGACTCGATACCCAATGCGCCTCATACCGTGAAAGACCCACTTCCTAATACTTTACAACGAAATACAAACCTTGCACGAAAACGCACCTTGCTAGCAACTCTCAACTGACGTCACCTCCAGCATGCACCAGTCTCCTAGAGATCATTCATACGTCATTTACCAACGCTGTACGGCCACCTCAAAGAGATTAGACGACCTGCAGCAGTTACAAGTCCAGCACTTATCCAAACTTTAGACTCTTTTGCAAGACCCTGCTGCTTTCTTTAGGCCAGCATCATGTTCCGTAACCTCTCGTATGCTGCCTGCGCCCTGGCGGTTGGTATCAAGAACCAATTTGACAACCCACAATCGATAATTTCGTCGGAGAATAGCTTAACCTTAAGCAGGCTGAATCTGGAGAGATGCTTACCCCAAGTCAAGGCTAGTGGTCAGGAATGCCAAATGTACGTTGGCGACAGGATCAAGAGAGCCGTTGGCTTTCCTCAGCTGACCGCTTGCTGCAAGCCTCTCCGGTACAAGGACTTCATTATTTCTTACGACACCAAGAACCGCATCCCCAACTGGGTTTATGAGCATCTGCAGTACTACAAGTTCTACAAGGATGACCCCTGTGACAGGAGGGCCAATGTCTGCCCATACAAGTAAGTACTTTTTGTGTTTATTTTATGCAAGGGCAGTCTGGCAGCCGGTATTTTCCTTCTTTCTGGCGGTAGGTAACTGTAAACGGCCAGGTACTTTTTAAGGCATTATTCTGCGTAATTAATAAGGCTGGATTATCTCGAGGCATGGCGTCCACCTCGAGTGCTTAAGTCCTTGGTTCAGGCCCCGGTTAAGGCTGGTATTTTTTTCACGTGGACTTTCAGTTTAATCAGAGATCGGACCCCCGTGTGTATTGTTGCGCACGTAAAAATCCCTTGGCAGTTGGAAATCGAAAAGAGTAGCCAAACGGCACCGTCCGGGCTAAATTTGGAGTTTAAAATCTACCCAAAGTATTTCAGGATCCTCGCTGGTGCTACAGAGCTTGTACACTGTGCTGAGCTTCTTAGGACTTGAGTTAGAAGAAGAACGGAGCTCTTATGGATTACTACCCGTGTGTCATGATGTTGATCCTTTGTTCAAACCTCAAAACTTTTTATCAATTCGATAGCTGTCATCCCTTGTAAATTCTGGGGCCCCATTTTTGGATTCGGTGGATAGACTCATTGCCCCCTAACAAATGTCGTTAAATCCGACTAAATAGGAGTTCTTAAATGGGGGAAATCCACAGGTCAGGGACTGTCTTATATTTCAGGTGGTGGTAGATAGGCTGCATGCAGTCGTGGGACCTATGCTGCACTCTCTCGTGGGACGTAGGTAGGTTGGGGTTAGGGCTAGTTTAGGGGTCTTTTAAAGTATCAGAAAGCACCCTCTAAAATGCTGTACTGTCCTGTGGCGTTAACTGGGGTAGGATACCAATAAAATACCAGAGGCAGATCTTTCAGCCTAGCTGTCAACGACAACAAAATGTGGCGGGCGCCCTTTTAAGGGCGAATGCACAAGATGACGATTGACTGATTGATTTGTTGAAAAATTGACTGAGTAAATGCTTCTGGTACTTCTGTAATTGTCTGTTTTACAATAGTTGAAATTAACAACACGATAATACGATTATTTTGTGTACAGAGAAGAGGAAGGCAGACTTCACGGACAAGAGAAGCCAAAGTTCCACCCTGACTGTCGTATCCATGGTTACCACCGCGCCGACGTCAGAGACTACTGCGATAGCGAATACGAGCTGGGTCTAATGGCGGATCCTGCCAACTACCCGTTCGATGCCGAGGCTTGTGCCGAAACCCAAGTCATGACTAATGTAGTGCCAATTGTAAGTTTTGCAATTGCGTATTGTTATCTTTCTTTTCTTTTCTTTCTTTCTTTCTTTCTTTCTTTCTTTCTTTCTTTCTTTCTTTCTTTCTTTCTTTCTTTCTTTCTTTCTTTCTTTCTTTCTTTCTTTCTTTCTTTCTTTCTTTCTTTCTTTCTTTCTTTCTTTCTTCTTTCTTTCTTTTCTTTCTTTCTTTCTTTCTTTCTTTTCTTTCTTTCTTTCTTTCTTTCTTTCTTTCTCTTCTTTTCTTTCTTTCTTTCTTTCTTTCTTTCTTTCTTTCTTTCTTTCTTTCTTTCTTTTTCTTTCTTTTCTTTTCTTTCTTTCTTTCTTTCTTTCTTTCTTTCTTTCTTTTTTTTTTTTTCTTTTCTTTCTTTTCTTTCTTTCTTTCTTTCTTTTTCTTTCTTTCTTTCTTTCTTTCTTTCTTTCTTTTCTTTCTTTCTTTTTTTCTTTCTTTTTTTTCTTTCTTTTTTCTTTCTTGCCTTTTTCTTTCTTTCTTTCTTTTTGACTGTCTTGTCCTTCTAATTCATTTCTCCCTCTCTTCCATGTCTACATTTATGGCAGCCACTTCCTCTAATAGATATAACGTCTTCATTTATATGACTTTACTTCCTCTTTTGTCTTTGATATTTTTTAGCTGTAGGACTCTAGCTTGGATCAAGGTCAGCATAGGCATACACAACACAAAGGATGGGGAAAACCATAAAAGAGGACAGCGGCGCCTACCAGGCAACTACATCAAGCTTGACGATGGAGATAGCCGCTGCTTCTATAGCACTAGCATGGGCAGCAGAGCAAAACAATCATAAAGTCAGTAATTGTATCAGACTCTAAAAACATGCTTCAGAAAATAGCAACAGGCAGTATATGCTATGAAAGGGTAGAAGGGATTCGAAAATCGGACTTAACCTCCCTCACCTAGATCCACACACCTGGTCATGCTAGCGTAAAGGGTAACGAGCAAGCGGACCAACTGGCAAGCAATGCACTAGAAGCATGGACAGAGCAGATCTCATCAAGGATGTACGGACCGGGCTGGTGGATAATAACGAATCTCTGACAGTAACTTTATTGCGTGATATGGTAGTAAAGCATGGTGAGGCACGTCTATACCGTCTTTGAGGTTAAGATAGGAGACATTATAATCAACCCCTCATAGGAACAATTAAAAGAAGTACATTGGAGTGGCTGCTGCATCGGAGAAGTGAGCAGGCATGGGAGAGCCCAATGTGCAGTGACGTAGATTGTGTTAACATAAGATAACTCAAGTCCTCTGTTGTAAGTCGTGTTTTTGTTTATAACACTCTAGTTACTCTACTGGATATCTTACCTTCTTTACACACTCTAGTTCGTCTACTGTGCATCGCGACTTCATTTACAGCATTCTAGTTCCTATGCTGAATATCCTTTACCCTTTGTTAAATCATTTCGTTTATCTGTTGTAAACTATGACCTCGCCCAGTCTTAAAACTTGACCTTTAATCGTTAACATAATTATAATGGTCAATAATAATAATAATAATAATAATAATAATAATAATAATAATAATAATAATAATAATAATAATAATAATAAATCCTAAAAGTACTTGGGTGCAAATTTCAACTATTCCAACATGCTGAGAGAAGAAATACAATCTAGAATTCAATCTGGAAATAAAGTACACTACGCCCTTCAAGATCTGCTAAAATCAAAGTGTCCGTCTCGCAACACCAAGATCAAAATATATAAAACGTTGTTAAGACCAGTCATTTTATATGACTGTGAAACTTGGAGCACAACTAAAAGAAATGAAGCCTTATTACAGGTTTTCGAAAACAGAGTCTTACGACAAATATTTGGACCTATCAAAGATGCAAACAGCGGTGAATGGAGAATGAGAAGCAACAACGAAATTCATAATCTGTTTAAATCACCACTGATCACTGCCATCATGAGAGCTAACAGACTGAAATGGTTGGGGCATATTGAAAGAATGTCAGATGACAGAGAAGTAAAAACTGTATACACGAGGGAAATAAATGATAGTAGACAATGAGGCAGACCAAGAAAACGATGGAAAGATAATATCCAATCAGACATACAAACACTTGGTGTTATCAACTGGAAAGAGAAGGCCAACCAGAGAGATGAATGGAGGCGGGGGATATTGGCAGCAATGAACCTCAAGGGCTCAGAATGCTGAAGAAGAAGAAGAAATCTAATCATCGCGACCACCGACTTGTTCTTCTCTTCGTTTTCCCTGCCAGTGGTTTTCAGATGTGAAGACCACAGGCCACCATGAAGTTTGTGTGAGACGCATGTCTTCCACTGTTACATTCAGCTTGAGTTCCATTGAAATGCCAACCGGCCAAACCGGGGATCTCTCTACTGCATAAAGAGAGCATAACTTCTTCTTTTTCTACTCGATCACTAGCTGTAAACTCCGGCGAAAAGTTCTGGTTGTTTGTCCACTTTGGACTGCAGTCCTGTTCCAGAACCTGAGTGTTGCGTGTGCATCCGTTAAACAGATCTGTATACAGACTGTTGGTTCCTTGCCTCTCAGGCTGTAGCACATGTTCAGTATTCTGTGATGCCTGGCCACATGGGCAACGTTCTGAATCCCCAATCTTGAATTTCTTGGAACATATGGCTGCAAAGTCTGTTGTGTGCAGTACGCAGTATAAATATAATGGCCTGTCTTTCGTGTGAGATATCATTATTACTGTCGTTATCATTCAACCCGCCATCGTCATGTAACTGTTGTATGAAACATGTGAACGTTTGTCGGCAGGTCCCCGGCTTCAGCTGTGGGCCATGGTTTGACTTACAGTGCTACATCCGAGAGAAGCTGGTGCGAGAAAACAAGAGCGTTTACGTTTGCTCCGGTCCTCTCTTCCTGCCATGGTAAGTACAGTTGCTTCTGAAGCTTGCTATGTTATGGTTATATGTTATCATTATTGTAAGGGGAGAAAAAAAAAAGGGGAAAAAAAGGGGGGGGGGGGTGTCTCAATGGCGAAGTGTTCGTCTGCCTCACGCTCTGAAAAGGGTGGATTCGTTTCACGTACGCGTCGTTCTGTTTACGAGTGCAATTTTTACTGAGAATCACGGGGATCGTCGCTAGAGCTACGAGTTCGTGCTTCGTGCAACCTTTTCGGCAGGCCGTGCCATATGGGACAATTCATAGCAATGAAGTTAAGAACTTATGTTATCACAATCGACGTCACTGTACATTGGGCATTCCCATGCGTAGTCAGTCTTGGATGCAGCAGCGGCTTCAGTTTGCCTCTACTGAATGTTTCTTTGGGAAATTGGAAATAATGTCCATTATCCATACCTCGAAAATCGCACAGGCGTGCACTTCACTAAATTTTAATCCCAGGTTACGTTATCATTGTGTATCTTATGAGATTAAGCTTCAACTGCGGTATGTGCCACATTTCTGGGCAACAACCTAATCAAGTGGATCTCAGAAATACAACATGTAGATATCAATGTCAAAGCACGAGTAGTATGTTAATTTGACCCATGACTGAAGACTTTAATCCCCCCTCCCTAAAAAATGGCTAATGATGACGATTATTGATAATGATGTTCATGGTAGACTCTGGTGACCATTATCTAAACCTCGAAGATTTACAGATGTGCTTCACCAGGCTTTAATCCCAGGTCACGCAATCGCAATCTTGTGTATATTATTAGAGTAAGCTTCCACTGTGGTACTGGCCACATTACTGGGCAACAACTTAATGAAGTGATTTTTTTTAAAGTTATGTACGATTTTCAGGGTGTACCAGAACATAAAAAAAAAAAAGATTTTGCTAGGAAATTTTAGGTTTACCCCAGTCCAGTATGGTGGATAGAAGCAAGGCAGTCCGTTCAGCTTTGAAGTTTATTTGTTTTTCTTCTAGTTACGGTTTGCTAATGCAGTTTCCACAAATGGACTTAAGTTTAAATAGTCGCTGTCCAAGCTACCGAGTTAAGTGCTTAATGGCGCAGGGCATTTCGTACGGAATGCCTTTCGTTTGTTCCTTCAGCGGTAAAAAAACAAAATACCATTTTCCACGCTTTTAGGCGTATAGGGCATATAGGGTATACCAGATAAAGGCATCGGGGTGATGTTGACATCACTCACAGAGGGATGATTAGTCTACAAATTAAGAGTTTAGCCTTATATTCCCGATGCGCCACTATCGTGTAAAGGAACCTCTACCTTACTTTTACTTACCTCCATCAACGTTAAACTGAAATTCTGCTGGCGACTGTTGTTGTTAGCATCTCTATGGACAGCCTTGTGCATTTTACTGCGTGTGCATGTGTTTGGATTTTGCCGAGACTGTTCGTTCACTAGGTTTTAAATGCAACGGCGTGAGACATTTGGTGTGATTTTCACGGGCACAGTAACGGAGCAACTATGGGACGACCTGTTTGCAATGATGCTGAAACCTCGACTAATGCTGCTACTGCTGCGGCTATGTCCACTGCAGCGTAATTTCTATTACTCTCGTCACAATTATTTCTTGCCACTGAGTCCTGATGTTTATACATTCCAAATCCCATCCTCATCGATTCCAGTCCTGACCGTCTCTGAGGCGTAGTGATGTTAACGATGGTTTGCGTTGAATATGGTAGTAATGAGGAGGATGATTGCTGATATTGTTGGTAATGATGATATTGACTGGTGATGATAACCCATGATTACGGCGATGTTAATGATAACGGTTTTGATGACGACCATGTCGATTATAATGTTGATGGTGGCGATGATGATATTATTATTATTATCATTATGATTGACAATTACAGTACTGATGAAGGTTGATAACTATGAATAATGATGGATGTCGTCGCCGAAGCTTCAGTTCGGTGCTTTGTGTGACATATTCGGCGGGCGAACAATCGCTCTGGAGACGAACGAAAAAGGGGTGGGAAAAAAGGGGGGGGGGTGGGGGTGGGAGAGCCAGGTCAAACGGGAGGATGAAATCTGATGCAATGAAACCGATTCACTTATTTTGAAACGCCTTTTCAATGTTGATGGCTGGTAATGGTCGATAATGATAATGATAATTGATAATGCTGTTCACGATGACCTTGGTAACGATATAAATGAATTATTTCAGTGAAAACGATGGCAAAGTACAGATGAAGTTCGATGTGCTTGGAGAAGGAGAAGTTTCGGTACCAACTCATTTCTTTAAGGTGGGTGTTTAACAAAAATCTACATCCAGGCTGTAATATGCAGGGTGACCATAATATACTGAACTGAAAAAGGGACGTCATAAGAAGAAGAAGAAAGAAGATAAGGAAGAAGAAAAGGATAAAGAAAAAAAGAAGGTGAAGAAGAAGAAGAAGAAGGAGGAGAAGAAGAAGAAGAAGAAGAAGTAAAAAAAAAAGATGCAGGAGAAGAAGAAGAAGAAAAAAGGGAGTAAAAAAAAGAAGAAGAAGAAGAAGAAGAAGAAGAAGAAGAAGAAGAAGAAGAAGAAGAAGAAGAAAAAGAAAAAGAAAAAGAAAAAAAAAAGAAGAAGAAGAAGAAGAAGAAGAAGAAGAAGAAGAAGAAGAAGAAGAAGAAGAAGAAGAAAAGAAGAAGATGAAAAAGAAGAAGAAGATATCTGCATATATATACCTGCAAGTAATATGAATGAATGAATCAAGAAAAGAAATAACTGCACTCGGGACATTCCCACACGTGATCCGTCCCCTTCTCCAAAACCAACAAAGAGTTGACATGCTAATGGGTACCCGTTGCAACATGACTAAAAGTCCGCCTCTTTCCCCTTCCAGAACCTGCAAGAAATATTTTCAAGCTTACCGTCATTTGTTATAATGAATATAGAAAGAATAAATAACTTCAAAACAGTGTGAAGAATAAAATCACATGCACACACGGGAGATAACCCACGACATTCCAGGTAGACTGCAACAGATGTTTGGGGGGTTAAGTTTTCAGTCTTGGACTAAGTTTGTCTGCCCAAACAACAGTAGATGTAACTTATTTGATTATAGACACTGGTGTCTGACCGGATAACATGCAGATAGCAAGTTCAAACTCGTATAACAAGTTAATTTGACCCATGCATTTGGGAAAAAAGCACACATACGAACCTACTGCACTATTTACAGTGTATATCGCCATGTTGGAATCAGCTTTCTACTGCTGGAGGTCACGGTTGAGATATCCCATTTACAGGAAAACAATACTTTAAATAATTACAAAAAAAAACAGCATTCTGCAGAGTTTATTGTCTGGTATATTTCCCTTTACCTAGTTAGGTGCATTACTACATGATTTAAACATAGGATGTACACAAAGAGTTGAATGGTAGTAGAAACGGGGCAGACCGATAAGAGTGTGAAGATCATGTCAAGGCAGACCTACAAAAATTTGGTTAGTTAGTCTTTCCTCTTGTGTCGAGTGCGGCACATAGGGCAGAGGTCATGACTCTCCATGCATGGCGGTTCGTTGCAATCTGTTGTAGGTCTTGAATGTTTGAGTGGCCCATAAGATTTGGAGTCACAAAATGGAAGGAGAAGGCCATTCGGTGAAATTAACGGAAGTTGGTGACATCTTTAGTAATGAACCTCGAGGGCTCGCTGGAGAAGAAAAAAGATATCATGAAGGATTTTTAAAAAGTAATCCTTTTAAGCTAAATAAAAAAAAAATAAAATAAAAAAATCGCATTGTCTGTACGGCGCCTAGGAAGTCTTAAGATTAATCACGTGATACTTGTACTTTGGAAGCTGCGGAGATGTGGTTATACATACGAATGAGAATACCCTGGACAGATAACAAGAGTAACTCATATGTCTTGACAGAAACTGACTCAGGAAGAAAACAGACTGTCCACATCAGAAAGAGAATCTGCATTCTTTGGTCAAATGACGAGAAGGAAACAATGGAGTACACTGTGACAGTAGGAAAGTTGGAGGGGAGGAGAGGCAGAGGGAGCCCGAAAGAACAGTGGCTGGACAGTTTGACATCATGGCATGGACGAGTCAGAAGGTAGTGGATAGACATGACTACCAACGCATTACTGCATGGACTCTGAGTTGAATGTTGAATTAAGAATCGACATCACAGCACCCGGGACATTCCCATAAGCGCTCTGTCCCCATCTTCAGCAGCAAGCGAAGAGTTAAAATTCCGATGGTACCAGTAACTGTCTAATTGTATAGCCGTCTCGCCCTTTTCCTGAGTGTCGAGCGTCGGTCAGATCCACTTGTAACTCCTCGCAGTGCTATTCTCCTCAAACCGTAATGATCTATCTGTTCCTCGGCACTGTTCACTCGCTCCTAAAGGGCCCTCACAACATCCAGCTTGTCATACATCAGGTCACTACCAAGTGGTGCAGAACCGGCCAGTCTATCCGTGGACTCTGAGAAAAAGTTGTACTTACATAACACGTGATTGCCCATTCTTAATGCCCACGGCTTCAGCATATTTTTATAGGCGTCCGTTTATTTTTGTAAAAGACATGGTCGATAATCTTTTGCTCGTACAGGTGATCATCATCGAGACCCATGACGGCAATCTGGAGCTAGAATCATACATGGTACCCAACTGCAAGCCAGACGAAGGTGAAGAAGTCAAACTGGACGACTACCTGACCCCTCTGTGCCAGATCGAGCACGCCTCCGGTCTCATCTTCTTCCCCGAGAAGAAAGTCTGCTTCACTAGCAACAACAAAAGGAGAGGCGCCAGGCTACATGCTTTGTAAAGTACCTCTTCGAGCTCTGCAGCAGATCTGTCAGCTTTTCAATTTTCTCCCAGTTCCGGCCTTTGTATAAAAGTGCTGTGGATAGACATGTGCTGTATCAGTTGCCAGTCTGTAGTTTTTTTAAAGTCATAAATTTACAAGTGTAAAGAAAATCATCATTTCGAGAATTCATTTTTATTGTCTCTTTGATATATCAACATTGCTGGCCGCAATTTATTCCATCATTTTTAATTGTTTAGCTTGTGAAGAGTTATTTTGCGAAATTATAATCGTGCACAGCAGGGAATCTTGTATGAACCTGGATTTAAAAGGTACTAAATTGTACCACAAATGGTAATATACGTCTGCAGTTTGAGTGCACAACATCGACTAATCAATGTATAGTCCTTGAAATCAAGTGAATAAACGTATTTCAGAAAACGTCATTGTACAAGCTTACTTCTGTTTCGAATGTATTTCTTAGAAGAGTTACCTACTTTTTTATTTGTTTTGTCAATATCATCGTCCTTTTCCACTTCTGCCGTTAAGCGTTGTGGGGAGAAACAGTCTGCGATCCACTGCTTGATGAGCAGAAATGGCTATTGTCATTCTGTGTCGATGAAGAAGCCTTTGTCATCAATCCATATTAACCTAGGGCAGCCTCTTGATATTACTTCAGATCTTTTCATGTGTAGCGTCTGCGCTGGTAGTTGTTCTGGCTGTATTCTTTACTAGACAACAACATCATTTGAAATCTTTTTCTCAGTGAATTTGCTGCATGGTGTTGTTCCTAGAGTCTGTCTGATATAATATCTAACTTTGTCTCTGATTGTTCAGTTGGTGGCTTTTCTCATACATCTCATTTCACAGGTGTTAATTTTACGTAAGTTAGCCGTTGACAATATCCAAGCCTGGCACTGGTAGCATATCATCATCATGCCTCTCCACAATCTGCGATCTCCTGCCGCATGTATCAGTTCGTGTGCCGGCACACCTCCATGCCATGCAACAAGACTGTCAAGAATCTTCTCTCGTTGTCTTCCTCTATCCCTCCTTCCATAGTTCTTTCCAGCGGTCACACCATGTTCTATTTTCCCCCTTCTCATAACATGGCCGAAAAAATTATGACTGTCTCCTTCCGATGTCTGTGATAAGTTGTCTTCTGGCTCCCGCCTCTTTCAAAACCTCTTGGTTGCTCTTTTTGGCTGTCCAAGGTATTCTAAGCCTTCTTCTGTAAAAACACATCTCTGAGGCATCAAGAAATTGTTTGGTCTGCCTACCGATTGTCTGGTAGCACAGTCATCATAATATCAATTTCCACTTCTGTCGGTAAGCGTTGTAGGGAGAAACAGTTTGTGATCCACAATGAGCAGCAATGGATATTGTCTTTTCGTGTCGATGTATAAGTTCTTTGTCATAAGTCCATCTTCTTATAAGGCGGCCTCTTAATTTCACTTTAGATCTCTTCGTGTGTAGCGTCTGCATTGTTAGTTGATCTGGCTGCATTCTTACTAGATGACCACCACATTAAATCCATTGGAAATCGAATACGTTTTGCTGAAAAGTGCAGATATCTAACCCAAGCTGAAAACCACAACACAACGTACCAACCATGGGTTTAATAGTAAACGCAGAGAAAAAGTAGATATAAAAACCAAATTCCTCGCAAAAATTTATTGATCTCAGTCTACCGGGACCAAGGAGAGCTTGGCATACAATATTACCACATCCAGCATGAGAGTGGAGGTTGAGGCGGTAACTGCCCCGTTCCGATAGGTGGAGAAAATCTCAGCCATGCACACTGTCGAAAGCATGCTCAGAAGGGTGGAGGCAGGTTTGCTTCGAATGGTATGGGTCGCATCAATTTCGCAGGTGGTGAGATTCATGTGGAGTTTGCCTGGGTGATTCAGGAATGTTTTGGGAATGAACAGGCAGATAATTTAGTTGGACGGGTCTCTTTTGGGGGTGTATTTCAACTAGACAAGGTAGAGGTGATCTCTCATCTGTGGGGAGAGGTAATGGGTAAAAAAGTAGACGCTGAAAACCCGCACCTAGACAGAATGTTGCAACTGGAAAGTGTCTTTGAGTTTTGGGCGCCACTCAAGACAACGGCAAGACGAGTAGTTTACCAGAAGACAACGGGTACTATCAGTATGGAGAATCTTCATTGGCCGTTGTGATGGGAGACAGAGTTAATATTGACCTGTCCTGAATCATGAATGCTGTGATAATGTGATGTCGAATCTTTCATCATCAAATGCTTTACCGACTGGCGTGGGCAGTCATGCCTCCCCACAGTCCGCGACCCGCAACTGCGTAAATCAGTTCGTGTGTTGACACCCCTACATGCCATGACAAATAGCTGTCAAGAATCTTCTCACGCAGACTTTCTCTTTCTTTCTTTGCACAAGTCTTTTCAGCGGTCACAACATGTTCAATTTACTCTTCTCACAACAATTCACAACATAACCAAAAAATGATAACTGCCTCTTTCTGATGTTTGTGTAAACATCTGGTTTACTCTTCTTAGCTGCCCAATGAAAACATTCATTCATTCAGTAGCATGTCCCTCGCGGAACCTCGCTGCCATAACAACCCTCCGGAAAACCTTCCTATCCTGAGCAAGATGTCCTGCGTCTGATACACCCATCTGGAGATCATCTGCCACATCCTGCACAGCCCAATGAATGCTAAGGATTATTCTGTAAAACCATATCTACGGGGCCCCGAGATATCGTTCGGCTTTTTTATGAATTGTCCAGGAAACACAGCCAACTCTTTACCCAGATGAATTCAACGGGACATTTCGGAAAGTTGCATACTTCTTATGTTATCAACTTCCGGTTGCCGAAAGTGACACTAACACAATTCAAAACATGGTGTTCTCCAGAACTTCTGCTGCTATTGCAGCGATGTCTGCTTGTGTGGGCTTTTACATGGGCAATCGGTTTCACCCAAAGGAAGACTTTAACACATTCATATCTCTACATGCTAAAAGCGCCGTTCAGCAAAAAGACGCAATTGAGTCAGGATTTCAGTTACCAGACACCAACAGTAAACAAACGCCAGCATCTGCATCGACGTCTTCCTCGACACCGCCTGTATCAAACGTTGGGCAGATTGTGAAATATGGGTTCCCAAGTACGGATAACTTGCGATCTTACGATGATTTCATATTGTCGTATGACAGAAGAACGAGGACGGCAAACTGGGTCCTTGAGCATCTAACGCAGGATAAAGTCACTCGGGTTAAAGGAATTGAAAGGTAGACTAGTAGTAGTATTTTTATTATATTATTAAAAAATAATCTGTAGCTTATTTACTACTAATAATAATATATTATATTAATGCCAGCACTGATGATTAATGGTAACAACTGTGAGGTTTTGCCCTAGTAATTTCAGTGTTTGTGTCTGGCTCTTTCTTTTGGATAATTTGCAAATTTAGACAATCATGGAAATCATTTATTCTCCATTCCCGTGTGGGTTCCAGGGCCCTATTTAATCTAAAACAAGAATAGACCCACTGCCTGCACAGAAGCATGTAAGAGTCGACTTAATGGGAGCTTCCTTCAAAGTCGGAGTACATCTGCCTAAGAGGCAAGGAACCAACATCTGCATGCAGATGAATCAGACCTGTAGAGAACAGATGTGCATGTAACACTCAGTTTCTGGAACAGGACTATAGTTCAGAAGTGGACGAACAACAAGAACTTCCCACAGTAGTTTGAAGCCGGTGAACTTGAAGACGAAGAAGAAGATTTATTTTTAAAAACCGGAAAGGGGGAAAACAAGATGATTATTGTTTCAAGTAAAGGCTATCTTCGGAAAAATGGTCCCAAATTATCGAGGCCGAAAATATACCCTAACAGGGCCTCAGTCACATGTAAATTGCGGACTTCCAGCGACTTAGTTTGCGCGACTACCGCCACCACCGAGAGTATCTCTCACTCCGCTACGCTTGGATTGGGGCTAAACTAGATGGCTGGGACTCACAAGCAGCAGCTACCGCATCTCCTGCAGCTTCCTTTATTTTATTTGCTTGCGGCCAAAAACTCACCCTGACAGGGCCTCAATAACATATAAACTGCGGACTTCCTCTGACGAACACATCGCGGCAAAACTAGGGTTTTATCCGTTGACAATTTCGAGAATCGCAGCAATACGCACGATAATAGCGGCATGGCGGGGGATACCATGCGCTCAGACACAGGTTAGTGATAGTGTTCTGATTAAACTCACCGCCGAGTGTATCCTCCGCACTGCTATGCGCCGCGTACCTCATCTCCTGCAACTTCCTCCAATTTATTTGCCTGTGAATCCCAGCCATCTAGTTTTCCCCTCATCCTCAATTATCGCTAAGTAGTCGATTTAGTCATTTTCCCCTTTTTTTTGTTCCTCTTTACTTTCGAGTTCAAGTTTTTGTATGTTCACAACACAGGACCTAATGAGGCCCTGTCAGGGTGTGTTTTTGGCTGCCTTAATATGTGGCCTTTATTCAGAGGATAGCCAAATATTCTTATGTTATGCTTATGTATGCATGGGTAATTAGGAGTGTGGGTATCTACTGGTATGTTTGCATACATGGGTATGCATGCATCTGAGTGTATGTATGTGTAAATATTCATGCATAGGTATGCTTGGGTTTCAAATCACCCACTGAATACCAGTTGGTCTATAAAATATGAATCTCACATCATATGCACTACTGGCATGTAAGGGTCCTTTACTAGTTTTTTACCTTATACTCAAGTCATGAAAAGTGTCTTTTACTTCACTGACTTATTCATGTTTGCAAATTAACAAAATAACTGCTTCTAACATACAGATGTTTATGACAGGTCAAAAATGAAGTTTATCGAGGATACCTCCATTCATGAATTTCATCGTTCCACAAATAAGGATTACCAAGGCAGTGGTTACGACAGGGGCCATCTGGCAGCAGCCGCAAATCATAGGCATTCAGAAAAGGCTATGAATCAGACCTTCCTTTTATCCAACACAGCTCCGCAGGTGAGTTGTGCAAAACAGCTACGCAGGCAAGAGAAATAGTCAGCTGTTCAGTATGAGTGTAATGTACAGCACTGACTGTGATTTGTTGTATACTGGGGCCCCGGAACTCACATGGGAATGTTTCATACAGTCGTGCAGTTTTGTAGTTTATCCTGTTTATTTCTTGCCAATTCAACATGCATTTACTGGTAACTCCTGACAATATACCCTTTTGTTAACACTTAATTCCCCAAGCAGCTGTTTTAATAATCTGTGTTAACTCAGTGTTACTTTAACACCGGTGGATCTAAACAACTATAACTCTAGGGAAAAAAATGTCCTAATCAATGAGTTAAGGGATACCTGCTTGAGACTGAAAGAGCTAATGCATGTTCAAGAAAGAATGTAAGGTACATTTGTTGTCTGTGATTTGTTTAGTCTATTTCATCACCATTATTATATCCAATGATGTAGAAATGAGAGAATCAACTTCATTGGGTTTTATCCCAAATGGCTCAGTCTCTGCAGAACATCTTGCTGTCTGCCGAGAGCATCGCACAGAGCACCACCTTCCTAGCTCCAGTGATGATCCCCAGGTATCTCCACAAAATTGCACTCGTGAACTGAACGGTGCTGCCATGAAACAAGCTCATGACCTTCAATCGCGAGGCAAATGACTTGGTCATGGAGACACCCCAGTATGTTCCATGCTGATAAGCATAAACTGTCATGTTTTGGCATTCTCACATGGTCACCAGAATCGTGAATCAAGTCAGTGTTCTTGTTTCACCCCATTCATATGGCTTAGCCATCTGGTTGTTTATCTCTTTGCCTTCCTTTTGTTCTCTTTCCATTAATCTTGCTGGTCATCAACAAGTTGTTGAGTCCCTTCCTTCTCATAACATGTCTAATTGTTGAATTAAGAATTGACATAATATCACTTGGGACACTCCCATAACTGCTCTGTCCCCGTCTTCAGCAGCAAATGAAAAGTTCCAGCTCTGATAGTACCAGTAAATGTCTTATTGTACATCCATCTCGCCTTTACCTTGAATGTTTAGTGTCAACCAGATCCCCTGGTAACTCCCCACAGCACAGTTCTCCTCAGACTATAATGATCTGTTTGTTTATTCACACTGTTCACTCACTTGCTCCCAAAGGGCCCTCACAACATTTAGCTTGTCAGAAATCAGTTCACCACCAAGTGGTGCAGAACCGACCAGTCTGTCTGCATGCTCGTTTCCTAAAACACCGGCATGACCTGGAGAAGATATAACATGTCTGAAAAACACTGACTGGCTATGTCTATGACTAATCAGTTTATGACTGTCATCTGTCTTGAGGAGGGCTATCTCATTTGTTTTTCTACCATTTCATGATATTCTTTGCATTTTTCTCAAAAAAGCAAAGCAGGTATAAAACAAAACATCAGAATTATCTTGTTCAGTGTCATCTTCTTCTTCTTCGCCTTCACCAGTTGTAAACGCAGATGGAACGCTCTGGTCATTTGTCCACTTCTGGACTGTAGTCGTGTTTCAGAACTTAAGTTCCACGTGCACATCCCTTTTATAGTTCTGCTTATATGAACACAGATTTTTGATTCCTCACTTCCCAGGCAGATACACTCCGACTTCGAAGAAAGCAACCCTAATAAGCAGACTTTTACAACATGTTTATTGGGTGGGGGGCAGTTGGTCTGTTTTTTTTTTCTCTCTTTTTTTAATCCCACTCAGTGGAACCCTCAAGAACCAATCGGGAATGTTCAGTGTAGTAAAACAGATGTAGTCCAAAAAAAAAAATTGTGAGTTGTTTAAGCATCAAAGCAGATGTTGTAATACAAAGCATCAAAGGTACCTTGTTCAAAGTAGCAGAGCAGATGTCATGCGAAGCAGCAGATGTGATTATTTGGATGTAGTAAAGAGAGAAGCTGTAAAACACAGCATTAAAGATGTGTTATGAAATAGGATTGTATGGCAGGATGCCAGATTCGCTTGTTTGAAGAAATATTACTTTGTAAACTTGATTAGCATCAGAAAAACATAAATACAGTGCAGACCTGATAAGAAGAACTTAAAGGTGACCCAAGAAATTCCTCTTACCCGGATGAGAGATCAAGCAGGATGAATTGCTGGGATGAAACAAACTGTTTTTCACAACAGAAATTTGCCAAATTTAAGATCGCCTTAAGCAGTCTGCACTGTATTTGAAGTTTATTTTTTAAAGGCAAATATTTTGCTACATTCTTTTGCAATCAACTTTAAATTTTTTTTTTTTAAATCAAGAGTCATAAATAAGACAGTGTGCCTGAGAGTAAATACTGGTTTAAGCTGTGACTGTATACATTGCCAGGTTGGTGAAGGATTCAACCGTAATGCATGGAACAACCTGGAGAAGTATGTTCGAGCTGTAGCCCGCAACAACAAGAATGTCTATGTCTGTACTGGACCACTTTACTTGCCGAGGTTAGTAGCATGAGTTACCTGTGTGAATTCTGGGGCTGCGTTTAATTTTTCGTTAAAAACAAAAAGGGGGGGGGGGGGGGGATAATACCTACTGCCTCTATCAAGCATGTGGAGAAAGTTACTAATTATGGATTAAACAAAGGATAAACAAAAGCAGTGATGTGGCTAGAGACATAGCATTTTTCCCATACCTGCTTTCTAGGTGATTCAATGAGCATGCGAGGGCAGGACATGATTCTACCCCTCAGAACAGGACATGACAAACTTAACAAGCATATGCACAGGCTTCGTCTAAGTAGTTCACCCATGTGGGCTGTGTGTGCAGACTACAGAACATGTCCTGCAAGATTGCCTCTTGCGCAACCCATTAAGAAGGGAATACTGGCCCACTGAGTGGACACTGAACTCAAAATTGTATGGAACTAAAAAGGAACTCCTAAAAACAGTCAAGTTTATGACAAGAACTTATCTATCAGTGTAAATCAGATAGCGAACACAAAAAGAAGGAGAAGGACAGAATAGATAACAGCAGTGACTGGAACTTTGTGAGTAAAGAAAACTCAAGAGATTGTTGGTCATATAAAGAGTAGCCAGTAAATGGTTGATGATAGCTTACTGCAGATTGAGTTCAAAATGTGTAATCTATTTTATATTGTAAACATTTTTTATTTATAGGAAAGAGCCAGATGGGAAGACTTATGTGAAATATGAAGTCATTGGACAAAACCATGTGGCTGTGCCAACTCATTTTTTTAAGGTGACTCATTCTTGTATTGTTAGTTAAATATACTCTTCATTCTTATTTGTCTCTCCCTGCATGGGGGAAAGATCCACAGCCCCCTTTGCTGGTTTGAGAAACAGCTGTGAACATATGCCGTGATTGTAACTGACTAACAGAGCATGTTGAGAAAGGTGAAAACAGGCATGTTTCATGCAGATTGGCAAGCATCACTTCAAAGGTCCTGGGTAATTAGCATCCTTTAGATATTTTCTCCAGGCGATGCCGGTATGTTGGGAAATGAGCAGGCAGATAGACTGGTTGGCTTTGCACCACTTTGTGGTGTATTGATGTTTGATAATTTAGTTATTGTGAAGGCCCTTTAGGAGCTAGTGAACAGTGCGGACGCGCAGATAGATCATTACGGTCTAAGGAGAATGGCGCTGCAAGGATTTACCAGGGGATCTGGTCGACAGTCAACACTCAGGGGAAGGATGAGACGAACATACAATCAGACGGTTACTAGTACCATCTTCAAAGTTGTGGTGCATCTTCCTGAGATGCATGAAGCCAGCAGTCTGCATACACATAAGTCAGACCTGTAAAACAGATGTGCATGCAAATCTCCAGTTCTGGAACAAGACCACAGTTGAGAAGTGGATGAACAACCAAAACTTTCTGCCAAAGTTTACAACTGGTGAACACAAAGAACGAGAAGGATTTATTGTCTTAAAATTAAATGTTTTGGTTTGAGGTTTTTTTAAAGATGTAGATACTGGATCTTCTTCTTCTTCTTCACTTCCTCTTTTACCGCTGTGGGTGTCGAGGGAGATATAAGGTTCTGTTTCTAGCTCTTCTGGCTGCCTCGACCATAGGCACATCGTGCTGTTGTAGAGTTTCTCTAATGTTATCCTTCCATCTTGGATAGATTTGTAAATAGTCTAGAGAAACCAGTTGACGCATAAAAATATGATGTTACAGAAGAATGGTTACACTAGCATGAACAATTAAAATGGATTAGAAAGATTTTCTCAAACAGGTGTTTAGGTAACTTTGAAAAACATGTCACAGTAGAAGCAATTTGACAGCAAGCTTTGACTATATATTAATCCTCATGTGAGTTATGGGGTCCCATATTTGGGGGAAGAACATAAAAACAAGATTAGTCTTGCTGCCCCCTTAAAAAAAAAAGCAAGTCATAAAAGGTGACTAATGGTTTAGTGAAATTGGATTTGTTAGATCCAAAGGCAAAGATGTTGCATCATTGCTATAAACCACAATACAATGTGCCAGCCATATTTTAAAGAGCGAACACAGAAGAAGAAGAAGAAGTCAGTGTCTTGAGAGCAGAAGTTTGTGTTACATTTGAGTATGCTGTAACATTCTATTAGTTATTGGAAACAAGGAGAAGAAACAAACCATAAAAAAGTATTTGGAGGTGGAGAAGAAGTAAAAGTAGTAAGTGAGAGTTGGTGGTTAAACTAACATAGAAAAACATGTTTCAGAAAAAAGTGAGGAAGGTGTGAGTAAAAGTAGCAGAAGCTGGAGGAAGACAAACAGAATCGAAAGGGGGAAAAACGAAAAAGAATAACAAGGGAGACACAAAATACAAGAAAGCAAAAAGAAAAAGAAAAAAAGACAGCATTATTATTTGCAGCACTGTACATTCACAGATTAATATTTTTTTACCTCTTAGCTGCTTATCCAGGATGTTGCAGAACCAACCCCAGCATTTTGTTTGGCTGTTGTGATTTTTCTAGGCACATTTTTTAGATTCAGTAGTTTGCCACTGCTTTCTGAATGGTCATCTCTTGGTAACACTCTTGAAACCAACGCAAGACAAACTGTCACAGCTGGGATAAAACCTGGCACTCCGGCATTCATCATCGGTCATCAGTTCTCGTTATGCCTAGTGGCACATGAGGCTTCAGAGAGGACTTTCCATGCTTTCCTGTCCTGTGCAATCTTCATTGCAGTTTTCCATGTCAAAGATGCCGCACTCAGGTCACTTTCCATCGTTCGTCTCCATGTTGTTTTTGGGCGCCCCTGTTTTCTCTTTCCCTCTGGTGTCCATGTGAGAGCTGTTTTGGCAGGTATATCAGAAGTCATTCTCATAGCGTGGCCAAGCCATTTCCATCTTCTCTTGGTAATCATACTGTCTAAAGTTTCTTGGTTTGTGGCTTGAAGTAGTTTAGTGTTTGAGATTGTATCTGGCCAGAAACTTTTGATAATTCTACGTAGACATGTGTGGTGGAAGGTGGACAGCTTGTGTGTATCCTTTTTGGTCATTCTCTAGCATTCCGCTCCATAAAGAAGAACTGGCAAAATGATGCTCTTGTAGAGTCGGAGTTTCGTTCCTCTGCAGTAATTGTTGGATTTCCAGATTTGTCTCATCCTTCCAAAAGCAGCTCTAGCTTTGTTCAGACGTGACTGTATGTCTTCCTCTGTCCCTCCCAGTAGGGACACCACACTGCCAAGATATGTGAAATGTTCTACATTTTCAAGTGATTGGTTACTTATGGTCACTGGTTGTTGGTTTGGACTGTTTGTCATGATCTTAGTTTTCTTTGTATTTATTCTCAGTCCCACCATTTCTGCTGTGCAGTTTAGTCTGTTACTTTTCTCTTGTATATGTTCATGTTTATGTTCATGTTTATGTGATAGGAGTGCTATATCATCTGCAAAATCAAGGTCCTCAAGCATGGTGAATGGAGTCCATCGTATGCCTCTTAATGTCCTGTCTACTGTGTTCTTTAGTATCCAATCAATCACAAGGTTGAAGAGGAGAGATGACATAACACATCCCTGTCTTACATCCGTCTTTACTGGGAAAGATGTATTGTAATTTTTTATACTGCAGGAAAAATCTTTATAGAAGAGAGCAATTATGTTGACTATTTTTTCTGGAATTCCATAATGTCGTAAAATTTTCCACAGACTGTCTCTATGGACGCTGTCAAAAGCTTTCTCAAAGTCCACAAAATTAATATATATACTTCTCTGCCATTCGTTGCATTGTTCTAAAATGTTACGTATAGCGAAGATGTGCTCAGTTGTTCCTCTGCCCTTTCTGAATCCTGCTTGTTCCACTCGTAGGCATTTATCAACTCCTTTTTCAAGCCGCATTATGATGATTTTACAAAATATTTTGCTTGGTACTGAGAGTAGAGTAATTCCCCTCCAGTTATTGCAGTCTGTTAAGTCTCCTTTTTTTGGGATTTTGACTATTGTTCCTTCAGTCCAGTCGTCAGGCAACACTTCTTTTTCCCAAATATCCTTGAACAATGGTTCCAGAATGCTAGCAGTTGTGTTTGGATCTACTTTGAGAAGTTCTGCTGGCAGTTCATCTTTGCCTGGTGCTTTGTTGTTCTTTAAAGTGTGGATAGCTTTAAGGATTTCTTGTTTGCTTGGTGGTTCAGTAATAATGTCCATGTCCTGAGAGGCTGGTTGAATATCTGGGGGATTTTCAGGATCAGGTCTGTTCAAGAGGTCGGAGAAGTGTTTAGTCCACTGCATGTCTTGTTTTTGTTCTGTGGTGAGCAGTCTGCCTTGGTTATCTCTGATGGGTATGCTGTAATAATTTTTTCTGTTTCAGCAAATATGCTGGGTAATTTTGTGTAGGGTTTGTAGATCATGTGCTTTAGCAGCATTTTCTGCTGTTTCTGCAAGATTTTCCATAAATCTTCTCTTGTCAGCTCTGGCACTTTTCTTGGTCATTTTATTTAGTTCGCTATATTCTAACATTAGTTTGTCTTTCTGACGTTCTGATTTAGTGTGATTTATGAGGCTCTTTATTCTTTTTCGCTTGGCAATATAGTCTATGGTTTGACTACTTATCCATTCTTTGTGGTGTTGTTTCCTGGTTCCTAATATATTATTGCTAGTTGATTTGTACGTTTCTTTGATCTGGTTCCATTTGTCTTGAATGCTGATTGTAGTGGAGTTTCTGGGTCACTTGATAGGGTTTGAAATCTATTCTTGAGTTCTACTATAAATTTCTACTATAAATGCACTCCGGCATTACCAAGCGCATTCGCAATGCCTAAGCCACAGACGTCGACTATTTTACTCCGTTATGTAAAATAAGGAATTCAGTATAAATTACCCTTTTAAGTCACATGATTACCTTGCACATCTAGGGATTTAATGTGCTCAGTGTATGGAGAGAGACTGTTTGTTTTTCGGTGGAATTTGTTCATTTTTGTCTGCTCCATTATCTGTTGATATAACTCTTTAGTGACGAGATACTGCAGAATATGCCTGATAATAAATTGTGCAATGTTGTGTTTATGTCCGAAATTGTTCACCATGGGAGAACATTGTTTTTACTACAAATTAATTCCCAGTTTCTTTTTTTTTTTGGGTGTTTTATTAATATCCTACCCAAAACAGGGAAAGTCCACAGGTCACGGGACTGTCTAATATTTCAGGGTGTGGTAAATAGGCTGCATGCAGTGGTGGGACCTAGGCTGCATGCAGTAGTGGGACGTAGGTGGGTTGGGGTTAGGGCCAGTTCTTGATGTTTTGGGGTCGTTAAAAGCATCAGAAAACCGAGAAACCACCCTCTAAAATGTTGGACTGACCTGTGACGTCATCTGGGGTAGGATATTAATAACGAACCCTTTTGTTTTTTCTGCAGGTTCTGCTTATTGAAAATGAGAAAGGCCAGTTTGACTTACAATCTTATGTGATGCCGAATCAGCCATTGCCAGATATCAAACTGCAGCACTTCCTGGTACCGCTGGAGACAATTGAAAGAGCAGCGGGCCTGCTTTTTTATCAGAATATTCCGAAGACATCATACAGAAAAATTAATGCTGCAGCGAGCTAATGAAACAGCCAAGAAAGTGGCTGTGTGGGGGCAAGCTGAACAACTTCATCAGTCTGTTTATCTTGTTCCTTGCAACTTTTTAAAATGAGGTTTCATCTTCTGTCTTTCACCTCCCAAGAGAGCAACTTCTATGTTTATTTGCCCTTAGAAGACCGGTTGAGATGTTCTTTAGTGGTTAACAGCTAAGTTGTGAAATCTGCATTTTAACACATCCTTAGTTGGCAAAAAATGGGGCCCCAGAAACGCACAGGGGCCAGTGGAGCATATGTCCAAACCGAGCCCTAGTATATTTTGCAGTCTCCAGCAGCTTGTTTCCAAGTCTTCCTGATATGTTTGTCTCTTTTTCCATTTTATTGTCATGTGTTTTTGGTCTTTCTTTATTTCTTTTGCCATGTTGGTTCCAGATTCCAAAGAAAAAGATTTTTAGTTATATTTTTAACTCTCCTTGTGGGTTCTGAATCTCCATTTTGGAGAAAAAAAAAGATAGACCCACTGTGACCCCCCCCCCCCCCCCACCCCACCCCACCCACCCAACAGTTCTCGTTATGCCTAGTGGCACATGAGGCTTCAGAGAGGACTTTCCATGCTTTCCTGTCCTGTGCAATCTTCAGTGCAGTTTCCCATGTCAAAGATGCCTCACTCAGGTCACTTTCGATCATTCTTCTCCATGTTGTTTTTGGGCGCCCCTGTTTTCTCTTTCCCTCTGGTGTCCATGTGAGAGCTGTTTTGGCAGGTATATCAGAAGTCATTCTCATAACGTGGCCAAATTTGTTGCAGGAGGTGAATAATTAGATTAGGGTTGTTTGCTTCAAAGATGGCATGCGTCTGCCTGAGAGGCAAGAAACCAACAGACTTTGGTCTTGTTCCAGATAAGCTAGGTCTGTAAAGTAGACATGTATGCAAAACTCGAGTTTTGGATCAAGACCCAAGTACAGAAGTAGATGAACAACCAGAACTTTTTGCCAGAGTTCACAGTCCGATTCCGATTCCGATTTGTTTGAAAAAAAAACAAAAGTTCATGTCACCCTAACCAGCTCCAATGGTGAGCGGCGGTTATTTTGGGACTGCGTTTGTTTGTTTGGAGTATCCAATAGTTTTTTCCAATTGTGACGAACTGCGTCTATAGTATTTCCTTGCGTGTATTACTAGTCCTGAGAAGGACTAGTAAAGTTTGCCGGGATGGCCTCGAACGGGTGGGAGGGATTGGGTTGGGCGGTAGACATCATGCCTGGCTGGTAGCGAGCTGTGGGGCGTTCTCCGGGCTGGGTGGTGGGCTGGTTCAACTGTCATGGCGGCTGGACTGGAGGGCGTGGTGAAGTTTCTCGAGTTCATCTCTGGCCAGGTTGTCTTCGTATGAACCCGCGTATTTGGCTAGTTCTGCGTCTATTCTGTCTGACTCTTCTTTCGCGGCTTGTTTCGCTTTTCTGTCTTCCTCCAGTGCTGCTTCGAGGTCTTCGTCTGCTAGTTCTGCTGTGTTTATTTTTGCTCTCTGTGCTTTTTTGCGGTTTAGGACTGATTGCCTTTTTCGTTCCGCTTCTTTCCTTGCGGTTTCTCTGGCATCTATCACTTCGTTGGTGGCTTGCAGTGCGGCGCTCAGTTTGGCGCATTCTTCGCTTGATTTCTTGAGCTTTTCTTTGGTGTCTGTCAGGTCTTTTTTGATGGTGGCTACCTCGGAAAGTATACTTTTCTGGTTGTCTTTCAGTTCTTTGGCGGCTACTGCATTTGTTTCCTTCAACTTCTTGAGCTCGGTTAGATTTGCCATCAATTCTGTTTTAAACTTCGCCATTTCTGTATTTTCCTCCTCGAGTCTCCTTTGGGTCTCGAGAGATGCCTGCAGGATGCTTCTCAGGTCTATCATCTCGTCCCTGTCTTGAGTCCTGAGTGCCATGATTCTTGCGTTCTCTTCTCGCAGGGATTTGATTTCGTCTCTCAGCTGCGTAATGACGTTGTTGTTCACAGCTGTCGGACTGGGCGCCTGATATCTTTGTTTCGGCTCTGGTTTGTGAGTGGTCCTGGTGGTGGTATTCGCCATCGCTCTCTTGACTTCTTTCAGGTACGGGCAACCCATGTACCTGGCGCTGTGCGCACCGGAGCAGTTGGAACATCTTCTGCTTGCGTTCGGCTTTTTAAAGTCAGGGTCCACTTTTGCCAGAGGGCATTCCCTGAATAGGTGAGGGCCGGAGCAGTAACGGCACGATGGGCTGCTGCGGCACGACGAGGCAGAGTGCCACGCCTTGTTGCAGTGAGAGCACTGCAAAACTTCTGTGGTGTAGGCTCCCGGTCGTTGCTGCTGCTGCCTGAGTGGGCGGGTGTTGCTCGGTTCCTGCGCCACGACTGGGGCGGCTTCTAGGTAGACGGGTGCCTCGATAGGGCCCACATCCAGGGCTGGCGGCGTCTGGGTGTGTGAGGCTGGTGTCTCCTCCGGGTCGTCGACCGGTTCTGGCATCGTCAGTTCTGGTGCGGCGACAGGTGCTTCCTCCTTTTTGGCTGAGGATGCTCTGGTGTCCCGGCGCTGGACCGGATTCTTCTTACCACGGGCCATGGTTTCGTGTGGCTGAGGCTGGTAAGTCGGGCGGCAATTGATTGCTCGGTCCCTGCAGAGTCTGGCAAGGCTTGTTAGAGTATCCTGAGAAGGACACCCAAGCGTGCTTTTCTCCGCAGTTCTCGAGACAATCGTTAAAAAAACTGGCTGGTGTGACTGGCTCTACAACAATGATGTGCTCCCGGGCCGCCAATAACCCACCCGCAGACGAATAACAATAGTTGAGTCGAGCCAAAACTCAGCCGAATGTCAAGCGAGTTCTGACCAGTATCTAGCTATTGATAATCTGGCTACGAATGGATAGTTGGCAAGCTGACGAGAGACACATGGCTGATCGGGCGGTAAATCGAGCGAGCGAGAGAGAGCTGTGTCCGACTGGGCTCTACCGATCGATCTACCACCGAGTTCACAGTCGCTGAACATCAAGAAGAAGAAGCAGTTACCTTTCATCAGCAACCTGTTGTATCATTATGTGTCTGTCACATAGGGCTTGTAGTCTAATCCTCCAGCACATTATCTCCTGTACAATCATTTCAATATCTTTAGTGAGCCCATGTGGGTTCCGGAGCCCCATTCTGGGATAAAAAAGAATAGACCCCCCCCTCCCTCCCAACAATTATGTTGTAAAAGTTTTCTTTTTCGGAAAGTTCTGGGTGTTTGTCTACCTCCGGATTTCAGTCTTATTCCAGAACTTAAAAGTGTTACGTGCAAATTCGTTTCACGAATGTGGCTTTTTTTGTGTGCATATTCTTGGTTCCTTGCCTCTCAGGCAGATGTATCCTGACTTAAAAGGAAGCCCTCAATTAATTAACTCTTATGACATGCTTGTTGGGGAGACAGTCTTGCTTTCCCCACACTGGAGCCCTGGAACCCGTACGGGGATGGGTAATTATGTATGTTGTTTTTCTGAAATATTGTTATAAAATGACTTTGGTTTGGATAATTATGTGATATTTTAAAAAAAGAGCCTTTATGAGTTTGGCTAATTAACAGTTTCAGAGAAAAAATGTTTGTTTTAATAAATAAATGGTTTTATTACACCTGACAGCTACATGTGTGTTGTAAGTTGTTGTCCCAACCATTATGTTTACTGTTTAGGAGGGGGGGGGGGGAGGGGTGCGTGCGCACATGCGTGTATGTATGTGTGTGTCAGAAGAAAAGAATAGTCTCTTCTAGTTGATGACTCATCTGGAAAACATGGAAAAGGACCCCTAACATACCACTGGTGCATTGGGCATATGATGTTAGACTCATGATCTAATAGGCTTTCGTGAATAATGTGGCCAGCAGCACTGGTCAACCTGGAATCAATATTGGAGAAAGGACTTGATGTGGATTCAAATCCAAGACCTTTAGGAAAAAGTCTAGCCACTACACTTCTGCAGCTCCCTGTGTAAACCATGCCACCCCAGTAATGCAACAAAAAAAAAAAAAAATGGTGTCAGTACCCTGGGGATTTCCCTATAAAAATCTTTAAAAAAAAAAAAAGTTAATTCCACATAATTCATTAATTAAAAAAAACAAACACTTCTACATTTATATGTTGGTTAAAATATAAAATTAATAATAAACATGAAAGGGGGTGAAGCCTTAAATAGAATACATTTCCCATGGTCTAACAAAACCATGTGTATTGCGTGACTCATGTTGTGACCTCGTTACCTCCATAATTGAGGTTTATAGATTGACGTCGACCCAGCTTTATTGGGTTCACATTATAATACCTCTAAATGCTATTTGTAGCTAATATATTCATATCCTTACATGCTGAATGTTTGTGCAGGGCTGGCCCGCCAGTAGCATTAACTGTGAGTCTTGTAAACACATAACTGCAGATAAGTCGGGAAAGTGATATTTATGGGGAATTAAGACGCAACCGGGAGTATAGGTTTTGTGGCTTCTCCGAACAACAGGGTTCATTTAAGTACCCAGAAGTAATATAACCTCAGTGCTGGCTAGCCAAAACAGTCACACAGCGTCACAATTCACCTGTGTGCAGGATTCTATTTTCTGGCAAGCACATCTCCGTTGCACTACAGCAAGTTCAGTGGCTAGCAGTTTACCTGCCATTCTGGTTGTCATAGGTCCCAGCCCCATGAACAATTTTTTTCAGTGTGTCCTGATTTCCAGACTCAGTTCTACTTCCTATGCCAGCAAGAAGGCACACACCCCCTCTCCCCCCCAAATGGGCTATCCTCCGAATAACGGGCACAAAAGATGGCGGCCCAAAAAAAAACAGGGCCTTAGTCACGTGTCAATAACGCCCTTCCGGCGACCAAATTTGCGGTTTTCCGGCGACTACCGCCGCATCTCCTGCAGCTTTGCTCGTGAGTCCTAGCTATCTTGTTTAGCCCCAATCCACGCCACGTGAGATGCGGCGTGGGTGATACTCTCGGCGGTGGCGGTAGTAGCCAGAAAACCGCAAATTAAGTCGCTGGAAGTGCGCAATTTAAACGTG